CGTCTGACCATGTCACTCTGCTGCTCCAAGACCTGCCTTGGTTCCCTGTTGTCTCCAGGAGATGTCTGGCTCCTCAGAGGACACTGAAGGCCCTTCCTGCAGAGAACCAGTGAGGGTCTGCATGCTCACCTCACCTCGCCTGCTCCAGCCATCCCCTACCCCAGCCTCTGCCCCCGCCCCCGTCTCCCCGTTTCTCAGAATGGCCAGCGGCACGGCTGAGCTTCTGAGTCTTTCTGCCTCGAGCACCCAAACTCCCTTTCCTCAGCCTTTGAGACCCAATTCAGATGTCCCCTCCTTTGGGAAAGATTTTTGCCTCCTTCCCCTCTGGGTAGGCAAGTCCCTCCCTGCTCCTCCTGAGTGCCCACTGCCCCCTTCCGCTCCGTGTTGTCACTGGCTGTTGATGTGTCTCTCCCCCGCCTACCTGTGAGCTCCGAGGTCAGTGGCCGAGCCCTGCTTACCACCAGATCGCAGCACCCAGACTGGGATGGGCAGTGAGGAGAGGCCCTCTGAAAACACTAGCTGGGGGTGGACACGTGGGGAGCGGAGGGTGTCCTTGTGGCAACTGAGCACTCTGCATCTCACCCCACTGCAAGCTCTCACCCCCTCCCTATTGTCCTCCTAAGGAGCATTGGACTGGGAGTCATAAGGCCTCACTGCTGGACTTGGGCCAGTTGCTTCCCTTCCTTGGGCTTAGTCTCCCCAGCTGTGAAGTGAGGGTGGGGGTGGGGGCTGGAGTCCATCATCTCTGACATTCCTTCTTCCCTCAGATTCTTTTCTCTGGCTATGAATCACAAGTACCGTGTGTCAGGAACCATGCTAGTCATTTTACATACACAGATTCTAACGTACATGACATGAGATGCTTTATGTACAACATTCAGGATGATGTCTGGCACATCGTAAGCTTCAAACAAACAGAAGCTGCTATTATTGTAAAGATATCGTAAATTATAATCTTTGGGGCATCTGGGTAGCTCAGTCGGTAAAGCGTCTGCTTTCAGCTCAGGTCATGATCCCAGGGCCCTGGGATCAGGCCCCATGTCGGGCTCCCTACTCAGTGGAGAGTCTGCTTCTCCCTCTCCCTCTGCTCGTGCTTGCTCTCTCTTGCTCGCTCTCTGTTTCTCAAATAAATAAATAAATAAATAAATAAAAATCTTAAAAAAAATTATTATCTACAGCCATCTAACACAGTGCCATTTTACAGATGAGAAAAGTAAGGCAATGAAAGGGAGAGTGACCCGTCCAAGTGCAGAGAGCTGGGAACGGTGCAACTGACCCGTTTTCGTGCGTCACGCCACCCTACTTTCCTCACTGGGTGGGCCAGCGCCTTTACCGGTTCGTTCAGTAAATATTTACCCATGCCTACTAAGTGCCAGGCCTGGTATAAATAGCGCAGATGCAGACAAGACCCTGCCCTCGTGGAAGGTACAGCTTCCTGGGGAGAAGAGATTAACTAAATACACAAATACATACATAAATCATGACAAGCGCTCCGTGGTTTGTAGGAAAAACCGGGGTGCTGTAAGACGTACTTGGCCTGGGGTGACCCAAGGTGGGGAAGCGTCTCGCTAATCTGGTTAACTCTTTGCTGTTCCTGGTGGCTAGAGACCTGCCCCTCCCCCACTACAGACCAGCTTAGGGCCAGACGACCCTGGAGGAGGGGGGCCGGATGCGGCCCCTGGAACCCTCACCCCAGCACTGGCCTTCCAAGTCTGCACCCCCATCTCTTTGAAGACTGTCCCTTTACAACTGCCCTTTCCACCGAAGGATTCAGACACAAATTGTACTTTAAATTCAATATCGGTCATTAATATTTCATGATTACAAAACGTTAAAGATAATGTCAGTGGAAGGAGCGTTTGCATGGGCAGAATGGATGACTCAGAAGTTCGGGGAGAAGGGAGCCGGCATACTAAGTGGCTGGGGAGTCTTTGAGGTAATCCAGTATGACAGCAGGCGGCGGCTCCCGACCCAGCTCAGCCTTCTCCAAGGTGCTCGCCAAGCTCCGCCACTGTGTATAAATATTTCCCCTCTGATTCTTGTCACCTCGGGTTTGTTACGCCCGGAGCAGGCAGGGCCACCGTGACTCCACCAGCATCCTCTGTTTCTGAGGAAGCCAAATGGATGCTTCAGCAGGAGGCCATGGACAGGCAGACCCCCTGGCATTGAACTTGGGGCTTGGGCTGGCTGCTGGGAAGCAGGAGGTCTGGGGGTGGAGCCCTGACCCTGCGTGGATTTGCTCCATGACCTTGGAACCATCGCTGTTCCACCCTGAGCCTTTATTTCCTCTTCTGTAAAGTGGGGATAATAATTTTGCCCTTGTCTTGCAGAGATGGCAAGAAGCTGGAGTGGTGGATTATTTGTGACACTCCTGGATTCGTGCCTGGCACCAAAAAAACATGACTTGAGGGGCATCTGGGTGGGAGCAGGGCTTTGGAGTCAGACAGGCTGGGGCTGGAAATTTAGACAGATGACTTCACTTCTCATCCATAGGTTGGGGATAAGGGAAGAACCGACACCTCTTAGGTGGGAAGATTCAACGAGCGAGCGCACTACTGTAAAATGCCTTGTGCAGAGTCAGTGCTCGAAGTCAAGTGCCCAGAGTCGAGATCGATAGGTACCTCTAATTGAGCACTTATTAAGTACTAGGCAAGTTCTTTCCATGCATGATCCTATTGAATCCTCCCATTAGCTCTGTGAAGCGGGAGCCATTCGTTTTCTCATTGATTAATACCTGGTCAGGGTTGGGCAGGGGTTGTTGATTGCAGCTTAGGGGGGAGGGTCTCTAGCCCAGTGATCAGTCTCCTTCCAGAGCCTCATCTTCCCCATGGTCGGTTGCTAGGCATTGGTGGGTGGGAGAGAGGTGGGGCTCAGATTGCAGAGAGTACCCAGGAAAAGGAGCTCACGTGGCCTTGCTGCGGAGGGAACTAGGCAGGCTTGCTCCAAATCCCAGCTCTGCCACCGCACATCCTTGGGCAAGTTTCCTCTCCCAGCCTCGATCTTCTCATCAGTAAAGTGGTGCTGATCGGTTACTGATCATGATTCAATAGAAGTCCACACTAGAAAGCCTCTAGCCCAGAATATGGATGAGGTAAACACTGTAAAATGTTTGTGGGAGAGTCCCCTCCACATTCTTTCTTCTGTGAAATGGCAGCATTATAGACTTTGTATACCACTCTAGCTGCTCTCTGCAAAGAGACCCACTGGGCAGAAGCACAATGCTTAACCCGAGTGGGACGTCAGGCAGGGTGGCGCAGCCGGACGCGTGCGGGGGAGATGTATCTGCAGGCAGGGAGAGGGGGCTCTCTGCCCAGCAGCCAGGCCAGTCTCCCCTGGCCGCCCAGGGAGCAGGCTCAGGGAGGGAAGAGGGGGAGCTCTCCTCCCCCCCAGTCCAGCCGCCACTTCCTCTCCAGCCACCTTTGTTACTTTCCTTTCATGAGGTGGAGGAGTGGATTCAAAGGCTCCCGAGTAGCAGGCACTGAGGTTTGAGCCAGCTTTGTATTTTCTTTTAAACTGAAGTTGAAAGAGACGGAGGGAACTTCAGCCTAGGGACTTCCTTGGCCCACCGGCCTGCAAAGGGGGAGGGCGCCAGCACCGGGAGAAGGAGGAAGGCTGGCAGGGGGCTCGCGGGGCCAGGAGGGACTTGGGCCCCCCCCCCACCAAGTGCGCGCAGGGGCAAGTTGGAATGTCGCCCACCCACGCACCGGAGGCTCAGAGGCTCTGAGTCTCTCTGTTGTCATGACTGCTTACTGGCAGCTCTGCAAGCTCCTGGACCTTGAGAGCCGATGGGGGTTGGGGTGGGGGGTGCTTGGAGATCAGGTCCAGGCAGCATTGCTCTGGTTTTGGAGGAGGCCTGGAGCTGCCCCCTCCCCTCTCCTGGGCCTCTGTGAACCCTGTGGTCTTAGCTCCTCACCTCTACGGCTTACTTATCTGGACCCCGTGCATAGAGCTTCCCCTCTTCCTCTTGCCGCTCACCCGTGCCAGCTGCACCAAGCTGCCCGCGGTGCACGCGCGCACACACAAGCGCGCGCGCGCACACACACGCACGCTCTTCCGGGAAGCCGGGCCAAGCACCTTGAAGTAGTCCCGGACCCCCTCTCTATCTCTTATCTCCACGCCAGTCATTCCATCAGAAAATCCCGGGGTGCCATTTTCAGCCTGTCCCCCAAAGCTGACCACATCTCACCTCCTCCATGGCTGCCGCCCTGGGCCAGGCCACGGTCTTGTCTTCCTGCCACTGTCACATTTAAGTTCCCCCTTCACCCCCCAAAGGATCCATTCTCATGCAGCAGCCAGAGGTATCCAGTCCGGTAATGTCCCTCCTCAGCCCAAATGGCGCCCCTGTCCTGTGATTCCCGCCTTATTCAGAGCAAAGTCCAAAGAACTTACAAGGGCCGAACACTCTGCCCCTCGCCAACCACACTGGTTTCCTCGCTATTCCTCCAACATGCTGGGCAAACTAACACCTCAGGGCCTTTGCACTGGCTGTTCTCTCTGCTTCGAACACTCTTCCCCCGGACATGGGCATGACTTCCTCACTTTCCTAAGGTCTCTGTTGAAATGGCTCCTTCTGAGAGAGGCCTTCTTCTAAGAGGAACAACACCCTCTTCTTCCCAGTCCCCTTCCCCGGCTCTCTTCCTTCCCGGTTTCTCACTAGCCCTTCACATCATCCGGCATATGTACACCTGTTTGTTGACAGTCTAGCGCTCCCCCACAAAGACAGGAGCTTTTCTGTCTTGTTCAAGGCTGTATCCTCAGTCTCTAAAACAGGGCTTCGTATGTAGTGGGTGCTCAATAAATGCTGAGGAAGGAAGTCAGCTTCCAGACCAGCTCTCGCCTTTTGGCTTGGGATCCTTCCCAGGTCTTTGTTCCTCCGCATCAGTTTTTGCCTCCCGCAACCCGGCCATCTGTGCCCGGTTTCTTCCTCTTTGCCCCGCCTCAGCCCCGCCCCTCACACGGCCTTCGCCCCGCCCCGATATTCGCCCCGCCCCCCGGCTCACCCGCCTCCATGGCCAGCACCGTGATATTGTGCCAGCCGGCCGTCTCGCGGTCCAGCCCCTTGCCCGTCACAATGGCGCCCGTGTCTGCATCGATATCAAAGATCTGGTCTAAATCCGAGTCGCGGTCAATGGCGTACCTGAGGGAGGCAGGGTGGGGCTGATTGAAGGTGCCCTGGCGCCAGGTGGAGCCCGTGCCCAAGTCCACCAGCCTCCCCGCCGCCCAAAAGAGGCATCATCTGCCTGGGAGACATCAGGAGCAGAGAAACCCTTTCCAAGAGAGGAAGGGTGGAAAGGGATGTGGGTTTGCCTCTCTGCGGCACCGGTACCGGCTGTGTGACCACGGGCCACGCTCAACCTTTCTAAGCCTCGGTTTCCTCTGCTGGGTAATGGGGCTAATAATTTGCACCCCACAGTTGTGAGGCTGGAAGTGGGCAAAGTCCCTGGCACTCACTGCATATTCGATTATCTTTCCCTAAGAGCTGACCCTCGAATTGGGCTTGGGGAGGGGGCGGGGCTGGCATGGGTTGGGGGGCGGATGGGGGGAACAGAGGTGCAACGAATCAGAGAATGGCGGGCAGGAATAATTCAGAGAACGGCTAACGGCGCCCAACGCGTCGAACGGAGGAGCAGGCAGAGTGTGGCACGGGCACCCGCGGGGCGCGGGATCCAGGGCTTGGACATGTCCTGGGCGGGGAGGTGCGAGGGGTCATTCTGAGCAGGAGAAAGGGGGTCGGCGTGGAGGCCCCAGCCCGGCCACACGGCTGAGCGAAAGCGGTGGCGAGAGGTCCGGGGGAGACGGCCGGCGGCCCTTCCCGGCCGGCGCAGCACGCGCGAGCTAATCTGCGGCTTTTCAGTTGCCGCGTGAAAAAGCCCTTTGTTCCGCCTTCTTCCCGGGCCTTTGTGCGGCGGCTCCAGGCCTGAAAGGCCCGTGTCCAACACATGTCTCGGGCGGCGGCCCAGAGAGGCCCCGCCAGCTCCGGCCGCCGCTTCCCAGCGCTGATAACGCGGGCGGGGGCGCCGCCAGGCTGCGCGGCCCACAAAGGCCTCGAACGCCAAGCAAGGGCGCATGCATTGTGCGGCGAGGACAAAGAAGCTTGGCGGGGCGGAGCTCAGCCTGAGCCACCCGGCCCCTCCCACAGGGAGGAAAGGGACCCTTTCCCCATCTCCTAGAGGAGGAAACTGAGGCCCAGGGAGGCGAGGGCGCCAGAAACGCCCGCTGCTGGAGGCGCAAAGCCCTGAAGCGACCCTATAGTGGGGCTTAGCTGCATTACAACGTCCCCGGGGCCTCAGTTTCCTCATCTGTTGAATGGGAATAATGACACCCAGTGGGACTGCCCGCATCTGAGAGTAATCAGAGCTGCGTTTGAATCCTAGGCTACTTACTTCACCTGTGTGACCTTGGACAAGTCACTGGACCTCCCTGGCCTCCGTTTGCTTATCTGGAAAAGGGGGTGTACTCCCCTGTACTCCCTCACACTGGTGTGAGTTAGAGGGGCTAATTCATGAGTCTGGGCATAGGCCTAGGTGACATCCCTTATTCTTTTCATAGTTACTGGGGTGGAGGCAAAGATGGTGAAAGCTACGGCCAACTTGTAAAAGGCTGTGTGTATGGGTATGGTGGGCATTACCGCCAGTTTCCTGAGCTCCCATCAACTCTCCTCCCTGTCCCTAAGCTGCTAAGCCCACATCCCCCTTGCCCCTGACCAACCTGGGGCCTCCTGACCTGGGCAAAAGTGTATGAGGGACTTCAGACCCAAGATGATACTTCCTTCCACTAGCACAGCACTTAGTAATTTGTAGCCTGCTTTTCCTTTAGCCATCCCTCCCTGCATTTCTTTATGCTTAGACATTAACTGAGTGCCTTCTCTGTTCTGCTCTGTGCTAGGTCCCGGGATAAAAGAGCAAATGAGACAGATGAAGTCCCTGCCTGGCACCCTGGGAAGCTGATGGGATCTTCCCTATTTTGCAGATGAAGACACTGAGGCTCAGAAAGGAAACCTGCCAAGCTTAGGACTGCCAAATATGGTTGAGCAGGTTGTATCCTGCACAAAGGTACCAACCAGCTGAAGGGCTGAAATGGGGTTAAAGTCTAACCAGTGTTCAGCTTGCCATCCTAGCTGAGGGAGGATCTTCTCAAAAGGGATCTTTTCTTATTTATCCAAAGATGCCCTGTGGGCTAGTGATGACGTGCTCAAAACTGCACAGGAGCTGTCGCAGAATTGGTATTTGTACCCAAATTTGGGACTCTCTACCCAGAGTTCTTTTATAGCTCATTGAACCACCCAAAGCTGCAAAGCATGGAGCCTCCGATCCTCCGCGTCCCCAGCCTGGGCCTCCCCGTCAGATGTTTGGGTCCAAAGGAGGTAGAACCAGGCTCCGAGTGTCAGCTCGGCTGGAAGGAACCTCCCCGATTCTCCTGGGAGACCAGAGTCCCGGAGAGGGCCAGGGCCTGATACAGCCTGGGTCTCCTGATCACTGGGTCGGGCCTGGGCATGAGGCAGGGCTTGTGGGAGGACGCCTGCCATCTTCTTGCTTCTCCTGCTCCTGCTTAGAACTCCCTCGTCTTTTCTCTCAGTTTTTCTCTTCTGTTCCCTCCTGGAGGGGAAGGGGCTGCTGAATCTAAGTGGAGGCAGCTGTTCCCAAGGCTGTGGGGTGGGCCGCAGGGACCTGCCATGAACCAGCAAAAGACTTGGGGCTACAGGTCAGTGTGGCTGGCTGAGCCCAGGTGGTTTTGTTCCAGCTCAGGAAGCCAGCCAGTGAGTGGGAGGGAGGGGCGGAGGGGCGCGGCGTGAAGCAAGGGGCGTGGCCTGGCAGACATGGGGGGCGGGAGAGGGGGAGCTTATGGACCTCGCGTGCAGGTGCATGAGTTGTGCGTCTGGTCGGTGTTGTGGGCGGAAAGTGTGTGTGTGTGTGTGTGTGTGTGTGTGTGTGTGTGTGTGTGTGTG